CTCTTAGGTGTCACTCTATCAATCATAGGTTGATCGGTAGTTAGTGATTCTGAAAAGTAGCCAGCACACTTCGGCCTCGACATGGCACCTTGACTTAAATGGTGTATCACCTCGACTACCTAGTATGACCTCACCTCGATCAAGTAGGAGGTGACGTGGAGTGCATTCTTTGTTAATTTTGTTAGCTAGCTACCACGTTTGTGATTCTCTGGAGCCTCTTCATGGGAAGCGTAACATAGCTAGTTAAGCATCAAACATGAAGAATCTTTTAGTTACTTTTGTGATATATAGCCATAGTTTAGTACAAATTAAAATTCAAATTTTAATCTGAATTAAAGTCGATGATCAATTTTAACCACATATTTTATGGGTCTCACAACTTTTCAACTACACAATTCATAAAATTTTATCAAAATATATTAAAAATCTGATTTTAATCTCCTCCAAATAAGAGTATAATTCCTGATTTAAAAAACAATTTAATTTTCTTTCTATTTCTCCTTATTTTCATTTTTAGGATCTTTCTAGTTGGTCCCAATTTTTTCATCTCAAATTTAAATTTTAATTGTTGCTTAATTAACTGGATTTTCTTGAAATTGTGACTAGCTAACAGCATGTCATAAGTAGAGCAATAGATGACATGACTCGGTTCCATTTGATCCTTCATGATAGAAACAGAGATCATAAAGACCCTTCTTGAAGTCAAGCTTCCCAATATAAGAGTTAAAAATCTTATATCACTGTCTTGAAACTTGCTTCAAACCATAAAGTGACTAGTTCAACAAGCACGAAAGTTCAAATTTTCCTTTTGCACAAAACCCTTTGGTTGATTCATGTCAATTGTTGCTTCTAACTTCTAAGTGTTCATTTCAAAAAAAAAAAAAAAAAATTTAAATCTAATTGATCCTACTTAAAATGAAACAGTACTACAAATAATATAATGTTGATGAGGGCGAATGGAAAATATATATTCATATTGCAATAAAAATGCATCATAATCATTTAAATGACCTTAAATTTAGGAATCATACATTCCATTTGTACATTTTAGTTATAAAATTTACATAATTTAAATGAACTTTTCGTATTTTATTGAAACATTAATTTCCAAAT